TCTTTCCCTCTAGAACACAAACTCCAAGAGGGCGGGGCTTTGCCAGCTGTGTGCACTGCTGTATCCCTAGATCCTAGCACGAGGCCTGAGTGATCGTCAGTGCTCAGAAATGTGTGCTGAATGGCAGGGGAGGGGAGGGGTCTTTGCTAGATCTGTCTGCCTCGCTTAACAAAGTGGGTTCCTGGCCTGCTGCCCTGGCGCGCAGTGAGCATCCTGAAAGAAGTCCAGAAAGTCTCCTTTGGAAAGACGTAGCCGATTATGCAAATCCAGCTGGAGGCACTGCACAGCAGGACGCTTGTCCAGTTACTTCCCCTTGAGCCTTAGTTTTCTCATCTTTAAAATGGGAATAATTTGTTTACTGATTAGGAAGCTCCAAGTTCCAAGCATATATGCATGCTTGATTCCTCGTGTTCACAGTGAGGGCAGCAGACATGGCAAATGGACGAAGAGATGGAGCTTCAGAGAGGGTACGTGACTACATGACTACATAACTTGCTTAAAGTGCTTAAAGTCTCCCAGCTGGCAAGGGGCGGAGCCAGGGCGTGCTTCCAGGCCTGTCTGACCCCAAGCCCATGCCCTTCCCCACCCTCCCCAACCAGGTGCTCTGGATAGAATCCGGGTCTGCTTAACAGCTAATGTAACAAAGATCATGTGCTGTGAACCCTAAAATATTTTGCAAACACAAGTCATTATTTGGATTATTTTGTGTTCTGACTCTCCAGGAAAGAAAGGACTGATCTTATTTAGACAAGTTGATCTCTCTATGGTCTTTGGAAATCTGAGAACCCTAGTGAGGTCCACTCTACTGGGCACTCAGCCTCCTTCCCAACCCTTTAGGGATGGGACTAGAGAGGAAAGAGGTAGGTGCCCCCAAGCTCCCTGCTGGCCAACTCTCAGGCCAAGAGGACCCTCAGACTGCTCTGCTCTGTAGAAACAGAATCCAAGTCACCTGGAGATCTGTCCCTTCACTCATTGCCCCTGAAACAGTCATCCGGGTGACCAGAGTGAGAATGCCGGGCTGAAGATGCAAGCACCAACATAAGAAGCTGAAGAAAGGAAGTGGTGGGCCACCAGAGGTGGTGCAGAGAAGGAAAGAGAACTAATGTGTACTGAGTGTCTATTTTTAGGCAGGCTCCAGAGTCAGGGTTTAAACCCTGCTTCATCACTGACTAGCTGTGGGACCTTAGGAAGTCACACAACTTCTCTGCGCCTCAGTTTCCTCATCTGTTAATCAAGCAGAATATGTGTACGTGCCTCCTGAAGCTGTGAGCTCATCTCTGCAGTGCTCTCAGCAAGGTGTCTGGCACCCAGCACATGCTCAGAACACAGTGGTCACGTGGTGTCACAAGCTACTGCTACACTCAGGACCCCCCACCCCTGCTCCCTGCCCTCGTGCCCAGCGGGAGGCATTGCCACCTGTCCACCCTCTCCAGCAGGAGCCTGAGAATTTTCACAGCCTCTTCCCCCTCCTGCATGCAACTTATCCTAGTTCCTATTTCTCCACATCCTGTTTCTCCACAACCACCCTGAACCCTGCATCTTTCCACCGCTGTCTTAGCCCACAGTCCGACCTTGACCACCACTGTGACCCCAGGACACTGTCACCCTCACAGCACACTCGTGCTTCACAGGGAATCATCTATTACAGATGAAGAGTTAACATCCTTCACAACCTCTACATATCAATAGGAAAAAGACCAGAAGCCCAAGTGGATAAAGTGGTTTCCACGGGAAAAATTTCAAACGGTCAAAAAAGCATGAAAAACAATTCAGGATGACCAGTAATGAAAAAGAAAACAGTAACTTCAAATGAGAATGAAGATATAATAAGTTTTACCTGCTGCAACTATGATCCCATTAGGGTAAATACTATATATAATATTCCACAAAATATTAACTCTGGTTATATCTGGATTGTGATTGGGGATTTCTTTTCTTTACTGTGATTGTCTATGATTTCTGGATAAGTATGCATTTCCCTTATAATCTCTTGTCCCTCCCTCCCCCTCTCCCTCCCTCCCCCTCTCCCTCCCTCGCCCCTCTCTCACCATACACACTCTCTACACTGCCCCACTGCTTACAGGCCTTGGTGGCCCACTGGTTCACTTCCAACTTCTGCCTCTTTCTTCCTGTTCTTTCCTCGTTGAAACCAAACGCCTCACAGTTCCAGGCACATAGGGCTCTGCTTCACTTCTACACCTGGCTAACACCCGCTGCCCCTCAGAGTCTGTCTGGGGCCTCCCCTGCTCTGTGAAGGCTTCACTGGACCCTCCCCACCAGCCCTTCCCTTGCCAGGCCAGTGCTGTCCTTTGGGGCTCCTGAAGCCCACCCCCAGCCCTTTCTCACTCCATTGTCCTACCTGTGCCACTGTTCACATTCTTCTGTTTACGTCTCCCTTCTCCACCAGCCCGTGAGCTTTTCGGGGCAGGGCCAATAGGCTCTGCTTTTCTGTGTCCTCTGAGCTTACGGCACCTGCCACTGAATGAGGTGCTCAGGAAAGGCTTGGGGAACTGACTGTGACTTCTGGCACTCTCGACAGATGAGTATGTATTATTACTCTCATTTTAGAGATGAAGACACCAACCTCAGAGAGGTTAAGTAACTTGCCCAATATCACATACGTAGGTGGAAAAGCCTAGATTTAAATGCAGGTCGTTTGAGGCTGCAGGTGTCTAACCTTAACCCTTATGGTCAGGCTCAGAAGCTCTCTCCACTGATGCACTTCAAGGAGCAATGGAAGGGAGGGAAGGAGCTGAGTGGCTGGAGTAATCATAGTAGAGAGAAAACGGTATTGAACTTACACGTGCCAGGCACTGTGTTAAGCACTGAACATATCTCAGTTCATTTAAAAAACCCTATAAGGAAGAGAGCATTATTAGTCCCATTTTAGAAGTGAAAAAAACGGTGTCATAGACAGGTTCAGTCCCTGGCCCCAGTCACAGACTCAGGATTTGGCCCTTACCAGTCCAGCTCACAGCCTGTGCTTGGAACCTGAGCTGTGCTGCCTAGAGGCAGGCAAGGGACACAGTTCCACTGTAACACGGGTTGCAGGGACCACCCCACCGAGGCAGCAGAGGTCACCGTCACGGAGCAGGCTGGTACCGGTACGATCCAGGACCAGAGCTGAAGCCCCCCACATGTGTGCCTCATCCATGAAATGAGGGGTCCCCACCCAGGCTCACACCTCCTCACAGCTTCGTCGCTGGGTCACAGAGCAGGCACTTCTGAGGGCTGGTGAGGGGCTGGGTATGAACAAACTTAAGTCAGTCAAGGGAGGAGAAGGGAAACCAAGCTGCCTGGGCCTACTCTCTGCCAGGCACAAACCCCACCTCATCCCATTGAATCTTCACCCCACCCCCACTACGTGCACAAAAAATTGATACTCAGAGAGGTAAAGTGATGTGTACACACATACTAGTAGCAGGTGGAGCTGGGACTTGTACCCATGGCTGTTTCAAATGGTTCCAAACAAGAGTATTGGATTTGTCAAATAGTCCTAGACTGATCCAGAATAACTCTTATCTCCCAGGATCTGTTCCATCCTCTGTCTCCTAAGTCCTGGGCTCAGTTCTGATGGAGGTTGGGGGAGGGGGCTAGCACTGAGAACAGCATGAGCCTGACAGATGGACGGTGCCAACCACTGCCACTGTGAACAGCTTGCCCTGGCCTGGCCTCAGTCTTCTTATCTGTAAAATGGGAGGACTGGATCTGAAGTACTGTCGCCAGATCCTTTTCAGGGCTAAGTGTTGCTTGTACCACCCCCAGCCTGTGAAGACTGAAAAACAGACTGTGCACCTCCATGCCTGGGCCTGCAGCAACAGGGTGGGCTCAGTGGGCATGCTCATCCCTTATTGCAGCAGTGAACTTGCTGGCCTTGCTTTCCTCAACTGCAAGGCTTTGGGGACTGAGTTAATGGATGCAAGGTCAAGTCTACACCTATGTGAACACAAGTGTTTTGTACTCCAGGGAAACACGATGCACCAACACTTAACCTGGCCAGTGCTGGGCTTAGGGCTTACACATATCAACTCATGTCATCTTTCCTGAAATGATACAGGGAAGATATTACCATGAGCTGCCCATTTTGTGGATGAGTACACTCGAGTCCACAGAGCTTCAGTGATTTGCCCAAGATCATAGTCATGCTAGATGATTCTTGAGTGACTTAATAATGATGCTCCAGAAATGGGCCACAGGAGGTGAATAAAAGGTACCAGGGAGGATGGAGTTAGATCTGGTTGGCCTGGAACCCAGGAACAATGACCTAGTGAGTCTGCCCAGCAGAGGATGGGGGGAAAGGGCTTCTCTGTGGCAGGAGCTCCCAGTACACGTTTATGCGAGACCAAGCTTCCAGTGTCTGGCTCTGAGGCCACGGTGTGGTACCCTAAGTAACACAGCCAGTGACCAACAGGGAGCTGGCAGATCTGACTCCAGGCTGTCTGGCCCCAGCGGTGGGCTTGTTCCCCTCTACCTCAAGAGGGGGCCCTACAGGCCAATGGTCTTTCTCCTGATGAATGGCCTCCTCCTTCACAAGGGCTGCAGGGGACCCCTACTCACATTTTCTGCAATGGCATTCTGAGACCATGAGTAATCTCCATGACAACCAGGGTCTTCCCATCACCCCTGCGCCTCGTCTCTGCTCACCCACAGCCTGCAGAGATCACCCAACCCCGGGCGGGCAGACAGCTGAGGCAGGATTCTGAAATGCTCTTGGAAGCAGGGCAGGGAGGGCTCGGTGGAGCTCCATCCAAGGTGTGGGGAAAGGGGAAAGGATCTGCCCAGGAGGGGCAAGGGCAGGAGGGGGGCTGGGAACCCCCACTGCCCAAGCTTCTAGACCTTTCCTCAAAACCCCATAGTCTGAACAATTCATGCTAGTGCCTAGCAGGCCTCAGTTCCATGTACCCAAGGCTGGGCACCCAAGGCCATTCTCAGTCCACCCTGCTTCCCCAACTGCCACACCCACTAAGTGCCCCAGCTAGAGGGGCACGCCCCCTGCCTGGGCCCAGTGCCTGGCACTTCCATCAGGGATGCACTACACCCACCTGATGGGCTCTCTTCAGTGCCTCCTTCATCTGTCAAGAGCCAGCACAGTTGAACGCTGTGACATGGATCCCTACCCCCCGAGCCCCCACACACACACACACACACACACACACACACACACACACACACACACACACACACACGGTGAGCTCCCCCAGCCCAGTCCCATCTCCATGCTGTGCTTAAAGCCTTGTGGATGGGGTCGTCTGTGTCCGGCAAGTGTGACACCCTCCAAGGTTTAGCGGCACCCCAGGGGCAGGAACTCTGTCACTCTGTGCCACTTCGGCGTCGCCACGGGAGGCTCAGGGCCTGGCACAGAGTGCTCGGGGCGGGCGGCGGTGGGGGGAATAGTTAATGGAAGAATGAATGAACCAGTCAATGACTAGAAGGAAGAGGCAAAGCGGAGGTGCAGGGGTGGGAGGATGGACACGTGAGGAGGACCGGGGAGGATGAAGAGAAGGGGGCCACAGGGCCGCCTCTACTTACCCAGCCGGGCCCGGAAGCTGCGGACCGTGTTGCCCCCTCCTGGCCGCGCGCCCCTTCGGCTGTATTTCTCATAAAGCCGGAGCATGTGGACAGCGACCATGTCCTGGGTGCCGGGGCCTAGAGCAGCGGCCGCGTCCCCTGGAGACCGCTGGGGGTTCTGGTACCCCGCCAGGCCGTCGGCCGCTGCGGGCGGGGCGGACCGGGCGGGGGCCGTGTGGCTGCCGCCCGCGTCCTGGAGCAGCAGCAGAAGTAGCGGCAGCAGCGGCAGCAGTTGGGACCCCGGTCCCGGGCTGGTCCGAGCGGGGCCACGGGCCATGATGGGTGGCGGTGGCGAAGGGGTCGGAGCCGGGGAAGAGGAGGAGGAGGGAGATCGAGGGCGCACAGGAGGCTGAGAACAAACCCTGCGGCGGGAGGGCGCGCGGGCAGCACCGGCAGGCGGGGGCGCGGGATGTCGAGATCCGCGCGGGGCAGAGCTGGGCGCGCAGCCGGGCGCACGGTACGGCCAGCGGTCACGGCCGTCCGGAGCCACGCAGAGCCGAGCCGAGCCCAAGCCGGCGCGCTGCCTCGGCGGACTAGCGGCGAAACTTTGCAGCCCCAGGCGCGCCCGGCTTGGCGGG